GATATTCATTTGCTTTTTATGTTGGTGATTTCCATTTTTTTTTTGATTTTTTTTTTTTTTTTTTTGATTTTCAAAACAGAAACAAATCCAAAATGAATGAATAAATTTTCCAAAATACAAACCAAGAGATCAGATATAACTAGCCAAATTTGAAAAAAAATCAAAAATTACAAAACAAAAACAAAATGAATGAATGAATTTTAAAATGATAAGTCAGGTTTTTTTGTTGTTGTTGTTGTTGTTGTTGTTGAAAAAAAAGGTGAATGATTGAAAGGAGAAAAACAAAAACAAAAACAATATTTACCTATTTGATTTGATTTGATTTGAAACAAAACAAAACAAAACAAAACAAAACAAAAAAATTGATAAACGTTTTTTTCAATCACACACGTCAATAAATAATAACAGTTTATCTTTCTCTCTCTCTCTCTCTCTCTCTCTCCTCTCACACATTGCATCCATAAAAGAAAAACATAAAGTGAATTTCAATTTATGACATCCGATACGAATCATATAAACAAACAAAACAAAACAAAACAAAAAACATGCACAAACACACAGTAGCAATTGATCCTCATCATAATCATCAAATCCAAAACAAAACATCGACAACAACAACAACAAATTGATGTGGATATGTGTCAAGTGATGATAGCATAATAATAGGCTTTCTACAATATTTAGTGGTGGAAATTCGTGAATCAAACTAAAGAAAAATTCGTGTTTTATGTTCAACAACAACAACAACAATAATTTTCGATTGATATGATCTTTTATATATTGTGTTTTCATGCACAATCATCATCATCATCAAAAATATAATCTTTATGATGATGCTACCGGGTTTTTCAGTTTTATTTATTGACCACCTAGATTTATGTGTTTTGATTGTTATCATCATCAATTTAATGATAATGATTGGTTTTCTTTCTCTCTGTTTTAAAACAAATAGAATTAGTAAACAAAAACGGATTTGTTGTTTTCCAAATCATCATTTTGATTTGAAATAGCTCTGTTTTGAGATGCTTTAAAAGATATTTAATCTAGATTCTTTTGTTACTAAAATGACATTTGTTCATGTTGTTGGCATACAAATGACCAAATTACATAATATTTTTAATGAAAAATTATATAGCGGAATTACAAAATAACAACAACAAGGATTCACACATATTTTCAATAGTAAAAAAAACCTTTAAATGAAAGGTGGAGACTAATCAGAGAAAGATGTACAAAAAAAAGAGTGTATCGCGTTCGGAAAAAAAGGGACATTCCTTTACAAAACATTTACACATCCATAGTATCTGAATTGAATTGAATATAAAAAGGCGGAGTTTAATTGAATTGAATTGAATTGAACGGTAACACAGGACTCGATTATAGGATTTTCTTTTTTCGTTGATAATAATATGTGGATGATGATGGTTAAATAAATACAGAAACCAGAAAAACCAAAATCATTTTCCAATTTGATTCGAAAAGAGCATATATAAATTTACCAGCTGAACAAATATCCATTTGATTCTCATTATTTGATTTTACATTTCGATTCTTGTTTTGTTTTCAAATTCCAATTTCAACAATACAAACAAATTCAATTCTTCAATTTTTTTGTTTCCGTCTATCGATTCAACAAATTTTTGTTTATTGTGATCTTTTTTTGGTTTGTTTTGCTTGGAATTTTTCAAATTGAATAAAACATCAAAACATCGCCATCATCAAATCAAATTCAAACATGATAAAAATGACAAATTTTGAATGGGACATAAATGATACACAGATTCCTGATGTAAGTAAAAAAAAAGTTTTTTTTTTTGTTTGAAATTCAGTTTTTTTTTCGTTGTTCTCGATGTTTCTCGTTGTTTTCGTAAAAAAAAATTGAAAACAATAATATTTACCTGGACATTATTCTGTTATCCGGTAACGGACCCTAAACAAAAATTAAATGTCTTTCAATGAAATTTATTCGCAGGGAAAAGGTAAAAAGGTTAAATGACCAGAGACCAGACCTGTTTAATGATAATGATAATGATAATGATGATTATTATTGACAATTTGAAGATAGGGTGTATATTCACCATCACCACACTAATATAGATCGGTGGCCCCAAATGGTCTGACCTCACCTAGTTTTTTTTTTCTGTTTTCTCGTTGCCTGTTCTTATTATGAGGAGCAGGTAAATTCATTCATTCATTATCATGATGATGATTTCAATTTGTTCGGTGTTTCATTGTTTCATTTCTTATTGTTACCTATCCCAAACTAACAAATTTATAAAACTTTTTGAACCAAAAAAAAAAATGATTCTTTTAAATGGTCAAATTAGGCCCAAATGATAATGATTCCAGCAAAAAAAAACTAAAAAAAAGCGACATAATTAAAAAATGAAATGAAAACAGAACAAATGTACAAATGTAGAAAAAAATCATTTTCAATTTTAAAAAAACATTCAATAATAATGACACTAAACTAAATTTGGAAAAAAATAATAATTGCTCGATTGATGATGATAATGATGATGATAATTTTGTCTATTTTGTCTAATTTTTTTTTATTCATTTCTTGAAACGCAAAAAAAAAAAATGATTATCTAAATTTGATTTCAAACTCAAACTAAATGGAATAAAAACAAAAAAATTTGATAATTGAGAGTCAATTTGAATGTTGTTTGTTTGCGAATATCTTTGAATGTTTTGATAATTATCTTTCACATCATCATCATCATAATCTTATTTTTGTTGTGAAAATTTCCATAATTTTACTTTTGTTTTAGAAAAACAAAACTTACCTGGAAAAAAAATTTGTTTGTTTGATTTGAAATTTTTTTGATTTTTTTTCTTTTCTGGATTTTTTCGCTCAAGGCAGAATTGAATTTTTGAATTTTTTTTTGAATTGATTTTTTTTCGTTTCACACACACACAGGTAACAAAATTTGATGAATTTCAAGAATGGACGGATGGTCATTGTAAATTTGTATATCGTTTGGATTGTGAAGAAGCACGAAGACATTCAAGTGGATGGGCAATGCGTAATACAAATAATCATAATGTTAATATATTGAAAAAATCATGTTTAGGTGTATTGATTTGTTCCAAACAATGTCAAATGGAAAATGGACAATCAATACATTTACGGCCAGCAATTTGTGATAAAGCAAGAAAAAAACAACAAAATAAATCCTGTCCAAATCGTCATTGTAATGGTCGGTTGATTGTACAACCATGTAAAGGACATTGTGGTTATCCGGTAACACATTTTTGGCGTCATACAAAATTTGCTATATTTTTTCAGGTAAAAAAACAAAACAAAACTAGGAAAAATTGAAAATTAAATAATTTCAAAAAACTCTAAAAAGGCAAAAGGTAATCATGATCATGTACGACCTGAACCAAAATCCAAAATTGATGCTCGTGGTTTTGGTATTAAATATTGTAAATCAATGTTATCCGCATCTGCATCTGCAAAATCATCGATTCTATCCACGACAGCAACTTCATCGTCATCTTTATTTGCTATTCAGGTAATGAGAATTTTAACATCTGAACATCTTTGATATATTTTGAATTGATAACAAACAAAATTAAAATGAAAGTTATACAAAGAAGAAGAAAAAATTATTAGCGAAATGCAAATAAAAATCACTGAACCTTAAACACAGGGAGGAAGGGAGAGAGAGAGAGAGAGAGAGAGAGAGAGAGAGAGAGATCTAATTTGAAATTTACTTTGTTTCGTTTACTTACCCATTCTATATTCTTTC